GGAGCTCATCTCCGTCTGGGGGCGGGCCAGCGCCGGCGGCAGAGTCGTCCCGCAGGGGCCCGGGAAGTGAAACCTGGAAGGAAGCAGCCGGGTGAAGGGGCGGGCAACGACCAGCGCACGCTGCTTTTTTCTGGCAGCGCCCGAGTGCGCTTGACACGCAGGTAGCTAGTTAGTCCTGCTTCTGCGGGAGGGGCTTTTAGGCCTCCTAGGGCTTAGGGACAGACTTCAGCTTCACACTTAGCAAGGTACAGTTGTGTCTTCAGTGTGAGTTAATTCCACCAAGAAAGAACAATCCTCTTTTCTTACTTACTAGAAGAAAATAGTGTCTCTTAAGCATTGGGGGAAAAAACTAGATCATGTTTGTTTAAAAACGTTCTAAGCATTTTAGCCGTTCAATGCGAAAGACAGTGAAGATGGAGGGGACTAAAGGTTGCTAGTTTAAAACTGAACAGCTTTACCTGAATCTGTTTGTAGCAGGAGTAGCTTCCATGTTAAATTCTGCAACTGGCACTCCTCTGGCGGATACCTGAGGGGCAAACATAGCAGCAGGATACACCACGGAGGAGGTCCCGACCTGCAGGGACAGGGCGAAAAATCACGAGTGTAGCAGGCCAGTAGTTAGACAGACGGAACCAAACCAACCCACAAGGTAAGGACCCTTCTCAGAACACTGGATCTGCAGAACTGCTAAAGCATGGAAGATCCCTGCAGAAATGAAACCAAATCCATATCTATATTTAGTGTCACTGCCTATGTAGCTATTTAACATAACGTAGGAATCGGGAATTGTTTCTCCGATGCAACCCAAAGAAACCTGTTTGGGGATTGTGACTGAACAAAAAAATCCCAGAAACAAAATGGCGGACTTTGCTTTCAGGAAAAAAACCACAAGTTGTCCCTTCTGTTACTTGAGATTATTTTCTGAAGGGTACACGATATTCTGAGCAAATGTTTTGGTCAGCGATCTGGAACCTGCATGCCACGTAAACAACCTCACAAAAAAAGCAGCACATGGTAACAGCTAGCTACGTTCTTACAACATTTTGTAACTTTTTTTTTTAAACTGAGCATCAAAATAATCCTGTTTTTCACTGTTTGAGAAATTCCAATATTAGCTAACCTCTACCACCTGTGTACACTAAGTGTGGACTGCAGATGCCAGCTGAGCAAGATGCGCACATGCTGAACCTGTTAACTTCTGAGTAGCATACGTACATTTTCAAACTTCATGGTCTTTTAATGTTTTACGCTCGACACTAGGGAGTCCCTCAGGGGCTCTTAGCCCCCTCGGGGAAGTGCAGATGCATCTCCTTTACCCAGGAGGTGCAACCTCTTTAGCGTGGCTTCCCTGCCGGTTAAGAGGCTAGGTAACAAAAGCGTCACTCACTACCAAGCAGAGGTCGCATATCTCAAGCTCCTTCTCAACCTCTGTGAGAATGTCAGGATCCAGGGTTTCGCCAAACCACACAACGTGGGGACGGAGGAGCCCGTTGCAGCCATCCTCCTCACACCTGTTTAAAAACCACAAAGGGACAGCGTTATGCTTCTGACGTGGACATTTCAACCTGCAAAATGGCAGAGCAGTTTTCATTCTCATTTGGACATGTCTTACCTGCCCTCGCTCTTTCTCCCTTCTCTTTCACAGCCCTCCCCACACCCTCCTCTACCAAGTGCCGGACAGAAGGCAGCTGATGCTGTGCTACATGCGTGTTGGAAGTACACACACGCTGCCTGGTCACACAGAACAGGTTGCTGAACAGTCGTTCAACTCAGATACTTAATCATGTCTTTCCTTTGCTCAGCTCCTGAAATGCATGAAACTTAAAAACATAGTATGTGCTACAGACCTCTGCCTCCACCAGCTTTAACAAACCAGCCAACAGATTTTTAAGGAGAAAGTGAACTGAAAGACAGAAGCGCTGCGTTAGCCTCTTTTCCGTAGAAGCCAGATGAAAAATACGCTGGTTTCTTGCATCTGCAACTAGCTAAAGCAAAGCCTCAGCCATTATAAAAAAGCACCGTGGCGTATTTAGTGCCTGCGGGGGACTATGCAGGGGCTGTACCCCAGCACAGTATTCCAGACTGACCAACAGTAGGTAGCACCTGCAAAGTAACAAAACGTTTACTGTGTAGCACTTAGTTTCCTACTGCGATTCTCCTCCTACTCCACGTAGTACAAAACCTATGAATTTAGGCATGTTTCAGCTTGACGCTCAAGTACACAAGCATGCGATCCCTTTAGCATCGTGGTAACCTTCTAGTACACGCTCCTGTTGCCTGCTCTCCCCCGTAACGCCAGGTTTAGATTTAGACTCGGTTCTCTGGCGCAAAGTCCCACGTCTTTTTCTCCTGTAGAGTGTTTCTGTGCCCTTCCAAAACTACGTGAACTGTAATACAAGCCTTTGAGATGCACAAAGCATGAAGAGGTAACAGCAAAAAACAAAGCAGTCCATACGTACTGAGGAAGGTCTTCAACTGGAATCGTGGCGTCTTCTGTTTCAGGATCTGGAGCCCTGAAGTTACAAAATTGAAATACGTATTCAATCGTACAAAGTGCACTTTGTATATTAATAAAAACTCAGTATTCTCTAAAGCACACTCTTCCAATCAAGGAATCTTTGCAACTTCAGCCCACTTCAACACCTAGTACCACCCTAAAATGCCACACGCAGGGCAGGCAGCCATTTGTCCAGAATTATCCCAGAGCTAAGCAGCTGTAATAAGCTGGTCAAAGTCTGTCAAAGGCACAACAAATACATACGTAGCTATCTAAAGATCTGGTGAAATGCAAAGGGAAAAAAAGCCCTAAAAATCTATGAGCATATGCCTGTCCCGCCCCCCCGCCCCCTTTTTTTTCATGGTGAAAGAAAGAGAATGGCTAGAAAAAGGAGACTGAAGGATTCTTCTGCAACTTTTTAAGTTGCAGAAATCCTGGGAACTGATGATTCCCTCCTGATTGTTTCACACATCTGTATTTTGAGACCTGTAATCATGAGAATCTCATTGATGAGTTGAAGGACAAAAGCTACAAGGTGCTCAAGAGATGCAGAAGAGGACAATCCATGTATCAAGTGATGACAGTCCAATTTAAGGAATAAGCATCCACTTTAATAAAAAACCTGGAAGGCGAAGAGGATGGGAGTAAACACACATTCTCAAAGAGTACAATCAGTTGATGTCCAAGATGAGAGTTTCAGACCATCTGAAATTGTTCTAATTAAAACGTATATAATGTTGTGCTGACTTAGAGGTTAACAGTTATTCATTCACAGGACTTACGGTATCATGGGCTCTCACTGAAGTTACCAAACGGTATACCCATGTTTCAGAACAGTTGTGTAAAATTTAAGCATTAATACTACTAAAGGAAAATGGGGTGGTTGGCTGAAACTCCTGTACGCTCCTAAAATGGCTCCTTTTCTATTGAACAGCAGACAAAGTAGAAAATACAGAGTTTACAAGGCAGACGTATTACCCTTTCCCGGCCAATGCGGGGCATATTGGACTCTTGTAATTTGCAGCCACGTTTCCACAGTTGGTGCATCGAGTTTTAAATAAACTACCTGAAATGCACAAAGAGAAAACATCAGGGATCACGCGATTGCTCTGAGGCATGGCTACACGAACAAGTGGCTATGTTTATTCCAGGCGGCCTTTATTCAGCTTTGAAGACTGTACCTTGTTGGTAACTTACTACATGAACGTAACAGCCAGGCGTTGAAACCTGGCAGCATTATGAACGAGATGCTATTTACACAGCACATACACATGCTCTTGTTCAGCAACCCAAGGTGACCAGTGCCATAGTTAAGCACAGACCGGGCCCAGCAAAGACAGACGCAGCCCTTTCAGCTGAAAAGCCGCAGTGAACAACAGCCAACAGTCCCTCTAAGCTAGGATTTGTCACCTCGTTCTACCTCATGACATGAGTAATACACAGCCTCGTAACAGTATCTCAGAGGAAAATCATTGCTTAAAGTATTACTGAGGGAGATGATTTCTGCTTATTGTTTCTCCCCTTAAACCAGAAACGTTCTCTAAAAAAATATATATATGCTGTTTAACGCTATTTCGTTTTATGCGAACTCCCCAACGCCAAGACTTTTGTAGAGTTACTAATGTGCTGTAGAGATGCGCAACATTGCCAAGAGTTTAAAATTGTTTCTGTTTTGTAAAGAATAAGGATAATAAAAATTAAACTATACCCAAGGCTTTACCCTTGGATCCACAACTGCAAAACAATTTGTGCAGGTTTCCTGTGTCCCGATCACAAAGTAGCGGTGGGAAATCCCATTTAAACCTTTCGCGATACTTAAGTTAAGCAGCATCATAGCGCTGGAGGACCAGGATGGGACTTTCTCCTGGGAGACTTTCACTCCGCGGCAGGGCCTGCGGAGTGGAGAAAGGAGGAGTGGGGGCACTCCTCAAAGGATGGAGAAGGGCTTCCTCACCCTCGTTCTCTCCACACCTGTACGCTTCCTCAGATCCAAAAGCCCCGCTGACCCCCGTGGGCTGCACCTGCGCTGTGCTCCTCTGGCACTTTGCGAGAGAGGGGGTGGGAGCGAGGAACGCCCCTAACTACAGGGAAGAGAAAGGGAGTGCCACTGGGCGTAGGAGAGAAAGGTAAGGGCATCTCATCTGTTTCCAGCCCCTTCTTCCTCCTGTAGCCAAGGACCGCACAGGTGGGTCTTTGAAGGACAGGACCGGACCGAGGGAAAGCGGCAGGTAGCAGAGCGGAAAGCACCAGGGCTGGCGAGACCAGTCTTGCCAATACAGCTTTTACTGGTGGCAATACCGATGTGGCACCACCACTACCACAGAGCAGAAGTCCTCAACGGATTCCTTCCTCCTTTCCTAAGCAAAATCAGCCAAGTATCCCTATCGGCATGTATTCAAGTGGATGTGAGGCAAAACTGAGCGAGTGGGAAGGGAGAACCAGTTCTTGTGTACTGTCAGAATCCATTAAAAAAGAAAGATGAGAAATAAAGGGAGGCTATGAAGTACCCGAAACAACTTCCAGAAGAGAACAGGGTGACACTGTGAATAGCTTCATGCAAGTTATTATCATTTTAAAGACAAATTTCTTTCCTCCCAGTACTTATCCTGCTCTCTCTTCTCCCCCACCAGTTCGCTGGCCTGTAGCAGACAGGTAAGCTGATTCTTACCATGAATTTCTAAGAGGTGCTTTGTGCCTGCCTTTCTGTGTAGTTCATCAATATTCTGAGTAATGACCACAACGCTCCTTCCTTGCTTGCTCAGTCGCCTTTCGCACTCTGCAATGGCGATATGCGCAGGATTTGGATGTTTACTCAACATCACTTCCCGGCGGTAATGGTAAAATTCCCATACACGAGAAGGGTTTCGCGCAAAAGCCTCTGGCGTAGCCAGCTCCTGGAAAAGACATAACAATTCATTCTACCAAGGAAAGGGCAAGAAAATCCCCTCCCCAGATGAAGCCTGCTAGCACACTGCCATTCACGCTGCTACCAGCATAACAAGGCAATCAAAAGAAGATTATTTATAACCAGATGCAGTTGACAAGAATATAGTTCAATAGCCCTTATGAGGATGACAAGTCAAAGTACCTTATTAAATGAGGAAATAACTGATATCAATAGTGTGGTACATGGTTTTACATAGTAAACTCGGACCTTATTCCGTGCTGCCCTACCAAACTATTAGGAGTTTAGCACAGCACAAAGGAAGATGAGATATTTCAATGCACATGATTTTTGGCATTCAAAACTCTCTTTTCCACAGCAGCCATAAAACTCAGCATCGTGTGGATGTATTTTCCTTTGCTAGCGATTTCTTTCTGCCTTAAGTGTAATACAAGTCAAATTACAGCCATCGTCAAAACAAAAGTCTAATGTCTTGTCTTTTATGTGCCAGTAAAATCTAAGCTATACTTTTCACACTAACATTAATTTTGCCTTATCTTTGTTTAAAATGAGTAGCTCAGTCTAATGCTTCAATGCACAATTCTACTGATATAAAAACGCTGAATACAAGCTTTCTGATGCAGAAGGACCAGGCATTTATGCACACCTGTGCTTTATTTGAATTGATAGTCACTGAAAGAAAAAACGCATCTTTAGATTCAAACCAACTTGAAAAATGCATCTCTCTGACCCCTTTTTAACTTCACCAAACCTTTCATGAATGCTGTCATTAAAAACCATAAAGAAAGCAAACGTGATTGCAGTGTTTGAGGTAGCAGTTACTGACAGTGTAACAGTTACTTGAAACATTCGCAGCACCACGCAGGATCAGACTCACGAGGCGCCTATACAACTCGCACATTTTGGCCCTTGCCGTTGCACCACTCCACCCCGCAGCGTCTGCTTCCGCCTCCTCTCCCACGCCAGTGGCTCCCAACGCTGGCAAGATCGCACCAGCAAGAGAGACAGAGCTTGTGGGAGAGTTAAAGGCTGTGAGGAACCCTGACCCCAAACAAACAAACAAAAAAAATCCTAGAACGTTTTTAAAGAGTATTATGAGAAATCAAGATTAAAAGAAAACAACTAGTCGGTATCATCGATTCTGTCCTTTGTCATATTGGTAAAAGGTTCTTAAGAGTTGAAAACAGGAAAGGCCCCACGAGGTAGGAAAACTGTGAGGGTGTCAAAAAAGGAGCAAACAGCTAAGCTGCAAGGCAGCAAGAAAACAAGGACGGCAGAAAGACCCAGAGCTGTCTGCAAAAACATCATTTTTCCCAAACAACCGATAAACCACAGGACGGAAAAGAAGTTGCAGCTGCAGAAAGCAGCCCCCCCGCAGGGCACGGGGAAGAGCTGCAGACACGGCTGCAGGGAGAGCTCTGTCCCCACCGCACCGCCACAGGAGCGCTTCCACCCCCTGAGGCACCCAGCTTCTTCTGACTCTTCCTGCTCACCTACCTGAAGGACTGAGAAGCACGGCTGCGCAGACACGTGCCACCAGTACGTACCTGGGCTTGCCACTTCCTCCAGAAACCTCCAGCCCCTCTGAAGGTAGGAACTCCACTCTCGGCGCTAACACCGGCTCCTGTGATAATGGCTATATGCTTCGCTTTGGCAAACACTTCTCGAAAATCAGCCATATCTATGCGTGGGGAGGAAAAACAAACAGCTGTTCAGACGCTTACACTTCTATACAAGAGGCCATACAGGCAGTGCTGGGAAACTTATGCATCCAGAAATGGCTTCTACATACACCTCCCATGACTTCAATTTCAGAATACCAACTTGTTTCTGAGTTTCTGTATATTGGAATTTGAAGGACAATTCCTGGAGATCCTCAAGCATGCGTATGAGCAAGCCTGGTGGGGCAACATGTATTAAACTGTGAACACACTCTGTATTTGAAAGACAGAACCTTAAACTAAAACCCCACACTAGATGCTACCATGGTAACAACTACTGCTGCCGCCGCCACCACCACCACCCAGGAACGGTTTGCTTCCTAATTGTAAGGTAAGATCCTGAGATGAAAAATATTTCCGTTTAGTTACAAAGTATCACCTTCGAAATTAAGATAATTGGGGAAAACGCATTTCCTCCTGAGGCATCTTGCCCATTTTCTAGGTTTGCAATTGTATTTTCTGTTTTTGAACGTATATTCCCTCCATTTTCACCTGCATGGTAAAGTAACTTGGGAAAAAGAGGGGAAATTTCCTTTGCGTTTTTCCAAAAACAAGTTAAAAAGGAACAGGTTAGCTAAAGAGAGACAAAAAAAAATCTCTTCCAGTTTACTTCAGGTATTAATTTTAAAGCAACATATTTTAGAATCACAGAATGGCTGAGGTGGGAAGGGACCTCTGGAGATCGTCTAGTCCAACCCCCCTGCTCAAGCAGGGTCAGCCAGAGCAGACTGTCCAGGACTGCATCCAGCCCGGTGGGTTTTGAGTATCTCCAAGGATGGAGACTCCACCACCTCTCTCTGCACAACCCGTTCCAGTGTTTGACCACCCTCACAGTAAAAAAGTGTTTTCCTGTGTTCAGATGGAATCTTGTGTGTTTTAATTTGTGTCCATTGCCTCATGTCCTGTCACTGGGCACTACTGAGAAGAGTCTGCCTTGTCTTCGTTCCCTCCCATCAGGTATTTGTATGCATTGGTAAGATGCCCCTGAGCCCGCCCTCCTCCAGGCTGAACAGTCCCAGCTCTCCCAGCCTCCCCTCATATGTCAGACGTTCACAGCCATTCATCATCTTTGTGGCCCTTTGCTGACTCTCTCCAGTATGTCCATGTCTCGCTTGTACTGGGGAGCCCAGCGCTGGACCCAGCACTCCAGCTGTGTCTCACCAGGGCTGAGCAGAGGGGAAGGATCGCCTCCTTCCACCTGCTGGAAACGTTCTGCCGAGTGCAGCCCAGGAGGCTGTTGGCCTTCCTTGCCACAAGGGCTCATCGCTGGCTCATGGTCAACTTGGCGTCCACCAGGACCCTCAGGGCCTTTTCTGCAAAGCTGCTTTCCAGCTGGTCAGCCCCAGCCTGTCCTGGTGCATGGGGCTATTCCTACCCAGGGGCAGGGCTTGGCATTTCCATTTGCTGAACCTCATGAGGTTCCTGTCAGCCCATTTCTCCAGCCTGTCGAGGTCCCTCTGGATGGCAGCACGACCCTCTGGCGTATCAGCCACTGCTCCCAGCTTTGTACCATCTGCAAACTTGCTGAGGGTGCACTGCCCCATCATCCAGAGCATTAATGACGGTGTTAAACAGTATTGGCCCCAGTATTGACTCCTACAGTACACCACTAGTGACTGGCCTCCAGCGGGACTTTGAGCTGCTGATCACAACCCTAATCTTTGTAATTCACTATATGGTTCTTTTTTTTTTTTTTTCCCCAAACCAAAGGCAGGTAAGTTTTTATAAGGAGAGATAGTCACCGGAGAAGTCCCAAGACCCACAGCACGAGCACCGTAGAACTGGGCAGAGAACACTACGATTCTGATGCCCCGTCTGCGGTTGTAAACCAAACTTCACAAAGCCCTTGAACGTGTAAAGATCAGGCCAAAAGTCCTGCTCGTCCGGTCTCCAGTCTCTGACAGCAGCCAAACACTGATGCTCAAGAGGGCAGAAAAAGCAAGTGCACCTGAGCTACCCAACTGTTAGGGATTTTACTATTACACCTGTGAAGTTCTGTGCATGGTTTTCAAATTAAATCACATCCTCGAGTTAAAAAACAAAGCCAGAAAACCCCCAAACAAACAAAAAGAGGGTATTTACTACTACTAGACTGAACAAGGCTCCTGGGGTTACCCAATACCCTGCTCCCAAGTTGTTACAAATGCTCGAGGCCCTCCATAATTCTTGTACAAAGAAACGAGGAGTGAATTTTATTACCCATTAGGATTATAAAAAGGAAATGCAATTAATTAGCATATGTTTATGTGCATAAATTATAAATACCAAAACCAAATCACCAGGCAGCCATACTAACTGCAGCTATGCGAGGGTTTTTGGAACTATCCATAGAAGGTAAATTTTAGCAGCTGAAAAAAAATAACTTCACGCTCTTCTAAATGTTTTGAATTAAACTATAGATTCTACCTATTACATGAAACCTTCTAAAACTTCAAATCTGGCTTAAACACCTGTCTGGGGTGCTAAAGGAAACAAAGAGGTGTCTTACTTGAACTAGGACGAGCCATTTCCAAGCAAAACTTCTGTTTCTTTGAAGAAGAAGCCGCCTTAAGTCCACAATATGCTTGGGAAACCAACCTTCTAGCGGTAAATTGGAAGAGACTCATCAGCGTCACTTGGAGGTACGTTACCTGAGAAGAAATAAATGAAACACAAGCGGCCCATTTAGGGACCGTATTTCTGCAAGCTCCCTGTAAAGAATTCTCCATAAAGAACCAGGTACAAACGTTATTCGTGGTTTTCTCCTGCGCATCACTCGGCCAAAGAGTTTTACGTTTCGGAGGTATTCACCACCACGGTATTCCTGCTTTACGAGACGATAAAACGTTCCATGCGATCTAACAGGGCTGCTGTGTCTCCCTTTTGACGATAAAGGCTACCGTAACGCCTTCAATTCTCCCCCCCCCGCGCTGCAAAAGGCAGACCTCTCAAATCTGAGACCCCCGAAACGGGACGACTGCTTTTGTCCGGTTTTGCTTCCAGTTAAGAACCGAAAAGACGGGTTCCGCCCAAAGACTGCCGACCCCTTAAAGACGTTCGCCAACGCGTGGAAACGCACCGTCGCGGATTTTTGTCTGATGTTTTAACCCACGCGACGCTTTTGAAACTCTGCTTGCCTCACGCAAAAGCGGCTCCCAGGACGCGACCGTCAAATTTTAAGAAGGGAAAAGCGA